GTCCTTTTTGCAATATTTCAGCCATACCGTGACTAAAACAACATATAGATTAACAATAATTAAAGATAGATTATACAATCCTGTCAACGAAGGACAGTAAAACAATTAGAATATCACAGATATACATGTAAAACAAGTAACTAAATCTAAAACATTGTATCTATAGGGGACAACACAATATACAAATAGGCTATAGATCGCCAACATCTGAAGGTAGATCACCATACAAGGGACCATGGGTGACTTACAGTACATTTGCTACCTGCATGGACCCTAGCTGGATTTACACCATCCCTTCAGCTGCTGGCGATTGTAAGAAATATTTAGCCGAATTTAAAAGAACAAAAATACTACGTTTTAAAAATTTTAATTTAGCTTTGAAAGTTTTGGGACTTACGTACCCTCTCAGGAGGACAATAATTTTACAATACTTCAACCGCCTTTGAGGGTACAGCCACGAACAATCTCAGTTACTAATCTAAACTGCCAATAATAAAATATTTATCTATTTACAAACTATTCATCAAAATGTATCTAGTAATTCTATTTCTTTTCAAAATTCAATAAATAAATTAAAATTAACAGTACTAAAAAGATCCTTAACAGTTTTTACATTGAAATACTTATCCCTTGTGATGGAAAAATCAATACAGTCAGGCAGGACATGCTTGACCGTGATTCTTTCATCACAAGGGATACAAAACGGAGGATCCTCACCTTTTAACAGGTATTCATGAGTATATCTAGTATGGCCAATACGACATCGTCGCATGATGACCTCCTCAAATCTGGACTGACAACCCAAGTAAGTGTAACCAATATATAGAGAATCTCACCCAAGTGTCTTCTGATATCAATTATATATCAACCCGAGTTGATAAAGTTACAAATATCCGAGGCTTGCCGAGGATATTTTTACTTTATCAACGAGTGTTGATATATTTGATATCAGAAGACACGAGGGTGAGATTCTATTTATCATCCAAAATCACTCTTCATTAATTTTCAATATAAAATGTACATGTCTGAACATGGTACTGCCATTACACTTGCAGTGCAGCGATGTCATAGCATTGTGACGTCATCAAGTACATGACGTCATAGCATTGTCAGGGCATTGTACAAAATCTACTGTCAAAACGATATCTCCTAGGAGATATCGTTTGATCTCACACAAGCGATATCTCCTGTGAAACACAGTTTTGGATGATAAAGGGTTTTATAGCATATAATTTATTGATATCTACTTGGGTGTCCAACTTTTTCTGCATCAGATCACGGATGTAAGTTCTAATGCAAGCTTAGTAATCAGAGTATGGAATAAGAAGCGGTGTCACATATTTGTTGAGTGCTGCCTTGGTAGCAAGATCGGCCATTGTGTTCCAAGAAATGCCAACGTGGCTGGGTAACCAACAGAGGATGATGTCGCATTGGCCAGTAGCAAGATCATTATATAACTCAATGATTTCGATTAAAAGTGGATGTTTGCAATAAAGATTTCTGATAGCCTGAAGGGACGAAAGAGGGTCTGAAATTATTATATATTGTTTATATTTAAGATGTTTTTAATATATTTATAAGCTGTTAATATGGCATTAGCTTCTGCTGTGAAAATAGAGCTGTTATTTGGTAACCGAGAAGATATTGCTCTGGATCCAATGACAGTGGCACAAGCAACCGTGCCACCATCCTTGGACCCATCTGTAAATAAGGATTTGTATGTATCATATTTATTTCTTAATTGACTAAGTTCTTGTTTATACTGTAATTCATTAGTTTCTGATTTTTTAAATGTAGTTAATGTTAGGTCAACTTGTGGCCTAACCAATTGACAAGGAGGAGAAGAAAGAAGACGGGAAGGAGATTCATTTTCCAGCTCAATGCCGGCATCAAAAAGGAAAGGTTTTATATGTATTCCTAGAGGTGGAATAAGTGAAGATGTTTTTTTAATACAGATCTTCATATAAGGGATGAAACACACATTTGTGTGCAGGGTTTGACTCATTTGAATAAAGTTTTGTAACAGACTGCAAAGATAATATGATATAATTTGTTTTAGAGAAGGTTGGTCTGCCTAGAGACTGTCAACAGGCAAAGTTCGAAAGGATCCAAGACAAAATCTAAAACCTTGGTGGTGGATAGAATGAAGTATTTTGAGGCTACTTATGCAGGCTCCTTCATATACGATGGAGCAGTAAACAAGTTTTGATCGGATGAGTGATCTGTATCAGTGGAGGAGGGTAGTTTGATCGCTCCATGAAGCTCATGAATAGAAAATATTTCGTTATAATCTTCCCCGTAATCAGAATGAAAATATATATTTTTCTTCTCCTGCTGTTGTTGGAATTTTTGAAAATTAGGAACATAGTTAGACGAGGAAGAATGTTTCGCAAGAGTTTCGCCCACCTCTTTGCAATATCAGATTTATCTGTTAACAATTGATCTCCAGATTTGGGATGGCGTATGCTTGATTTGGTACCCTTACCTCTAATTTTCTGGATCATGTTCCAAACCTTTGACATCGGCGTTCGTGAATTAATCTTTGAAACATAATTTCGCCAAGATTGGCGTTAACTTTGTATAAAAGTACGTCGGGCTTTAGCATTTAAAATTTTAAACTTATTTAAATTATGGACCATTGGATGGCGACGGAAATACTGTTTAGCTTTCTTCCGTGCCTTCCTAGCTTGTTTGCAGTCAGCTGTAAACCATGGCTTTAGTACGTGAGGGGCGGTGGGGTAGTCTAATGGTTAAAGCGTTGGCTCGTCACGCCGAAGTCCCGGGTTCGAATCCCCACATGGGTAGAATGAGCGAAGCCCATTTCTGGTGCCCTCCGCCGTGATATTGCTGGAATATTGCTAAAAGCGGCGTAAAACCAAACTCAGTCAGTCAGTTTAGCATGTGAGGATTTAAAGAGGACTTCGGAATACACTCATCCACTATCTCATGAAGGTAATCGGAGAAATGTTTAATAGGGTCGGGGACATCAATAAACATATCAGGATTTAGCTGATTATTGCAAAGAGTTTCATAAAGAACCCAGTCAGCTTTAGCAAAATTCCATATTGTTGACGGTGGAGGTGAGGTGAAATATGGTTTAACGTCGCGCTTGAGAATATTTTGCTCATATGACGACGTGCATGCGTGTGTATGTGTATGTGCGGCTGCTTGTACTAGCCCAGACTTAAGCTGGTTTTATAGTGCTAGCTCACTGAGATACCACGCCGCAGTGAAGCATGAATACCCCACTCAGACACAGTATACTGACTCCGAGCCGACCAGTCCTTGTTGTACCCATTAATGCCGAGCGCCAGACAGGGACCAACAAGTACCATATGTTAACGTCTTTTGGTATGACGCGGTCGGGGATCGAACCCGCGACCTTCCGCTCTCCGGGCGGACGCTCTAACCACTACACCAGGGAGGCGGTCTTGTTGACGGAGGAACATCAGATGGTGCCACAGATGTTAATATGGTAGGAAAATGGTCACTACCGCATAGGTCATCATGAACTGACCATTCGAATTCACTCAGCAGATTAGAGTCAACCACCGACAAATCTAGGCAAGAGTAAGATCCTGTTGCAGGATGTAAATATGTATGAGAACCATAATTTAAAATGCAAAAATCGTTATTTAGGAACAAGCAGTTTTCCTCTGGTATTGATGGCATTACTACCCCAAAGAGGGTTATGGCCATTTAAATGCCCCGTGATAACACAGGGTTTGGGGGGGCTTCAACATTCAAGGCCTGAGTAAAGATTTCATAAAGTTTTGTAGTACACAGTTGGAGGACATTTCCAAATTTAAGCATCAGTGACAAAGTGATGTCGTTTGATTCCCTTTTTTTACTTGTACGATATGTTCCCGTGTTCTTACAGGTTTACAATTGGCTTCCATGTGCCAGTGTTTGTGACGGTTGGGAGAGGATGCGAATAAGTTTTCATAATACAGATACATAAATATAAAATATGTGGAAAAGGAAAGGGTGTTTATGTCGACTGAGCTGTGTTGATGTCTCTGATGTAGGGTACAGTTCAAATATCTATATGTTCATTAACTATGGATTCGTGTGTGGAATGTCATTGGAAATGTTTCAGTGTGACATGAGTTTACAAGGTCTTATTACCAAGACATAAGTATCAATATAAGAAATATTGTCTGTGCATAACCAATATAACAGACCTTAAACTATACCATATGATATCGATTTAAAATAACTACACTTATAACGAATTATATCTGCAATAATGGGCCCAACCATCGCCCTTTCAACGTGGGTTCGGGCCTCCAACCAATGTAAATACCTCTTTTTCTTTTAACTTATTAATCAGTATTGGAAATTATATTGTGTATATCTTTTTCAAACCATGACGAGATAATCCATAGCATCTGTGTACAATGAAACCGAATAAAAGTCATCGTGTTGTCCCAGGTTACATAGGTTACGGCCACCATTCCAACGGTCCCCCGTTAGGTGGTTGACCCAGTTTACGTGTTTTACAGGGACCAACTCAACGGGACACCCGTGAGGTGGTTGATCCAGTTTACGTGTTACAGGGACCAATTCAACGGGCCCCCGTTGGGTGGTTGACCCAGTTTACGTGTTACAGGGACCAGTTCAACGGGCCCCCGTTAGGTGGTTGACCCAGTTTACGTTTGTTACAGGAACCAATTTAACGGACCCCCGTAAGGTGGTTGAGCCAAATGACATAAACAGGTTTACAGGGGCATTGCAGCGGAACTCAAAAGTTGGTCGAGCCAAACGACATAGGTTACAGGGACCATTCTAACGGGACTCCCACTTAGTGGTTGGCCCAATGTACAGAGGTTATGGGGTCTTTCCAACAGGACCTCCGTTAGGTGGCTGAACTAAACAAAATAACTGTGACCACTGCAAACACAAGACCAGTTACAAAGATCAATCTTAAAATGAAGTTTGTCCCAGGTACTTTGTGAGTGTATTTTCACTGTCAACCACTACAAAACATGTTAGTGAAAAAAGAGGTGGAGAGTGTATTTTTAGTTGAATTCTTACATACAGTACATGGTGTAGGTTGTCCAAGAATTGTCGTTGACGTGATGTGAAGACAAGGCTTTGTCGGTTAGCAGATAGTTCTCATCAGTCGGCGCTGTTGCACTGTAGCTGAAGTCGATGCATGAATGATGCTGGTGACACACGATGCCGCAGTCGCCGGCTGTAATGGCCGACGTGGTCAGCAACGGATTGGACACCTTCTTGTTCTTGGACGGCTTGTAGTATGAGCCTAGAGAAAAGTAATTCTATTTAATGTGTGAACGGGATTTCTTCAACGGTATATTGACGTTATACCGGTCATCTTCACGTGACACACCATCTGCAATGTCTCAGAGTCTCATTACCCAGTCCATCTTTGTGTGAAAAGGTGACTTGACTCATAGTGAAGTATGGCTCGAACACCTTATTGCTCTTGACGGTTTGTAGTATGAACCATTAGAATAAAAAAATTTCAATTTGTAAACGGGTGTTGTTCAACAACCCAGACTGCTGAATGGCAGTCAAAGCCATGGGGTCACAGTAACACGCCACAAGAAGATCGCAGGCCATCTTGATGGACAAAGGTGAACCTTTTCGGGATCTTTAGCTTGGATCCAAACAACCAACGAAACGTCTAAAGTTCTAAAGAACATGACGAAAGAGTTTATTAATAAATCTTTATGCAGCGCAAATTTTATAACCTGCAAATAGTCAAGCCTGGATGGCAAATCAATTAATCAGTCACTTATATTATGACCAACGTCGGGGTTGATGACAAGCAACAAAGTCACCGCCACTGACGACCAGATCCATTCAGTAGTCTCATAGGACCAGCAGTGTTTGCGTGGCCATCTTGGTATAAAGCTAAATATATAAACTCACTCACTCTTACTGAGCTCATCGATATATAAGAGATTATGATTAAGGGTGGGCGATAATACCGGTTAACCGGTATATTGCAATTCGAACTTCACAATACGATATATTGCGGTACACTTTCCGTGAACATGATAGGTAATTTTCGTGATGAAGTCAAAAATACTAACAACATTTATATTTCCTTTATATTAGTATACATTAATAGTTTGGGGAATGTTTATTGGTCATGCAATTGCATTTGCGTGACTATTACTACTCTCACTCAATGTTTCACTCACGATATGGCTTCATAGTCCCTTCCCCTTGCACGTCAACATGTCCGATTTTGAGACGTACGGAACTTGCGGATCGCCTTGTGACACGGACAAAGCGGACAGGGAAGGTGACATTGCAGGTGAAGGTGAACTTCTCACGAGCAGCAACAGTGTTAGGTACCTCTCCACACCACACCACCTGGACGTCAGAGCAGAGGCTGACATATTTGTCCATCACCTCCACGAATGCTTTTTCCAAGTAGTTAGCTGTAAACAAATAAGCCAGGGTCGGTATTACACATACAAAATTCATGCTTCTTACACGGTAAAGGCCTCCTTATCTGTAGCTGAGTAAAAGATGGTTTCTTGAAATGGTATTGTGTTGTGCCAATTTACCAAACTATATTAAGGCTGTTCAATAATCAAGAGTGACAATTCATTAAATTACATAAATTTATCATTAATGGTATACAATAGAGCTGAATGGTGTTGAAATGGACCGACATTGATATAGAATTGATGTGATATATTGTATATCCCGAATCTATGTATTTTATTAGCATGGGATGAAGCAAAAGTGATGTGTCAAATCTATAAGTACACTGACCCGTGTCGGTTACTGCTGTGAGGGTAATGTTGCTGATTGTGAAGTAGCCCCTAAGGTCCACCTCCCACCAGCACGGGTTGCCTGGGTTTGTTATTGCTCCCAGATGTGAATAACCTATATTAAGAGCATGGTTAGCAACATAGTAGCCAAAGGTACTGCTCTGTTTTGCATCTTTCCCATTTGAAATGGTTTCACCTGAAAGGGAAATATGAAGAGACAATGTGAGGGAGACAGAGGCACGTACAGACTCATTATACAGACGCAAACACTCACAGACTCAAATACAGGCACAAGCACACATATATACCCGCTCACATTATTACATTATAAATTATTGCCAGGTTAGAAAAGAAAAGAAAATAACTCACTCATTCCTCTAGGTACTGGGAAATACGAACAAGACAATAATCTCTGAAAGTGATGAATTGTAACTGGAATGGTTCTCAGAAGACATTTTGCTAGTCTTAGTACGAGTAAAAACACAGAAATGAAAATCACCTAGAATTTCTTTTACAAGATTTTCTGTACTTTCCGAAGTGCTAGGCAAACAACAGGATCAGTCAAACTTTTTCTCCCTGACAAATGAACCAGTCAACAAATTTGATTATGAGGGTTTCTACAATTCCCACATTAACCCACGCAGACAGTGTCAATCACAAAATGGAGAGGTGCACGTACAAAACGACATAACTACTCTACCAAAACCACGAAAGGGAATGATGAATCCAAAGAAAGTGGCACAATAACATCCAGGGCCTAGATTTTCGAAGCTCTCTTAGCGCTAAGATAGTCGTAAGTGCCATACATTAACATTAACTTACAACTACCTTAGCGCTAAGAGAGCTTCGAAAATCTAGGCCCAGGATCAGACTTTAAAGGGCTCCAGTATCCATCAAACACTGAAACCTGACACCAAACCTTTTCTAACTAAATGTAAGTACTCCTCCTTTTAATACATGTATGGTTAATTTAGGCATAAATGCCAATGGCCCATGCATAAGATATATATTAATTGAAAAAAACGGGAACAAGAATTATATTCCAATACAGTACTTAGTCATTCGCGAACAGTTTCCTAGTACATAGTGAGTATTTAATCATGTTTGCACAATTGTTCAGATAGTATTGGCAGATATTAGTGGACGATTCAGTGTCAAAATAGTGGTTCGAGAACAGTTGAACTGTGGAAGATATCGTAGTCTTGAGTTAAGCATACTCTTCAAGGGATATTCGTTCCCAACTTCCCGTACTTGCTCTTAGAGCCGAATCTATACACACAGTAAGTTACACTATCATCGAATATTAAACTTACAAAGCAGTCTCCAATTGCTGCTACATTAGAAAACCAGCACATAAAACGAATTTGCAGAATTTAGATTAAAACTGTTCCATAATGGGTCTCTTCTCAACTGCCTATATTTTAGAAGCATACAATAAAATTGGTTGTATTTGAACATCAAAGATTCAATCATAATGTCCGGTTGTATATTTATTAATCTTCTTTGCAATAATTTAATTGTGAATGGTGCCTTATTTGAATTAAAAGTTTTCTTGACATCAGCTTTAAGCATACCAGACTGAGATTAAGTTCGTAATATTTGTCCAGTTCAGCCATGTTGAGTAGAAGGTTGGCTGACACACATCTTTACACTAAACACCACATGTTGCTTTCACACAATATTCAACAAATTTGTTTGTATAGATACTTAATTTCATCCACGGACATTTATGTTAATGCCGATTTCCAATGAGCTTTTATCTCCCCTTTCATGTGTTATCTCCCTTTATCAAGGGCACTTTCGGAGGTGCTTTTTAGTTGCTAGCAGAGAATCTAGACAGGAAGGCACAAGACTAGCATCTGAATTTTGAGAAATGTAATGAACTGAAGACCTACTTACGGAATCACGGAAAACGCATTTCCGGGAATAAGTCGGACTTAATTTTGCGTGCCAAAGGTGTGAGTGATCTTGACACACGATCGATTGAAGACGCAAATTCATTCGACGTGGTCACTGTCATACAAAGACGATTTGAGAGGTTTCTGTCACCTCTCAAGGAGCTTTTACCAGACCCATTATACATGAAACATGGATGGAATAGCAGAGTTGAACTTATGCCATCATTTAGTTCAGGTGATCCGAATAATTATTTGATTTGGGGAAAGCAGCGGGCACTAGATACCGACCCAAACAACGCTAAACATCAGTTGAAAGCTAAAGTGTTCTACGAAGATAGACACGTTCATTCAGTTCGATATCAACACATATCCGCGGACTATTTTCATTGTTATTTCAATGCCAAAGTGATTCCTTCCATACCTCAGAGTATGAAACAGAAACCGGATTATGATGTGTGGGTGTCCTTATCAAACTTACCGGTCGGGTACATGCTGCTGGTTGCAACTGCACTGTCCTTTAAGTAGACAACTCAACAGTGCAAGTGTATTGGTATCTTTAATTCAAGATTGCCAACAAGTGGAAGCTAGAGATCTGTAAGTGAACGCACACTTTCCAATTTTTTGTGACTTTCTTGGGCAAGATATTTTGTATGACCCTTTGTGCATTCCGGAAATATTCACACGTTTGATTGCCATTTCAATATAAATGGATAAATTTGCTATGCGTCTTGTTTCTTCAATTTGGATGTTTAAGTTCATTCCTAAGGCTGTTGTCAGATCAGAAATGGGAAATCTTTTAACAGCAATTATTGAATCCACAGGTTCACAGACATGCAGCAAACCATATAATTGGGTAATCTGTTTTACACTGGTACTACCACACCAAAGGTCCGATAAAATCGTTATTACCCCAGCAGGACTAACACCAATGAATTGTGAGTCACATGCGACTAATAATTGGAGTATAGGAGGGTCCTGTTTGTAAGGGATTGTGATGTTTTATTAGATATTTTGAAAAGCAAAATCTATCTGCTAAATGCCCGAGCAATAGTCCCAGTTTAAGCCTCGGGAGAACTAGGACAATGAGTGAGTGAGTTTAGTTTTACGCTGCAATCAGTAAATATTCCAGCTATATGGCGGCGGTCTGTAAACAATCAAGTCTGGACCAGACAAACCAGTGATCAACGGCATGAGCATCGATCTGCGCAATTGGGAACCGATGACATGTGTCAACCAAGTCAGCGAGCCTGACCACCCGATCCCGTTAGTCGCCTCAAACGACAAGCATGGGTTACTGAAGATCAATATTCTAACCAGGATTTTCACGAGTCAGAACTAAGTACAAATATACCTGGGTTAGGGATTCCTGTGTCAAAAGAGAATCTCACTGTAGGAGACATCTTCATATGTTAACACAGGCTTGTTACACTGCATTTCAACATTAACCACTCTCGGCTTTGATATCGCAATTGTCATACCACCATTCAATGTTAATGTTGAAATAGTCATACAGAAACTGTCAAAGACATCTATCTGAGTGGATGCATAAAAGGCCTAAAGGATTAAAATCAGTCTGTTCACACCTGCTGAATTTTGATAGGATTGTCAGTCTGCCCACAATAGTCATTGCACAAATTCTAAGTAAACTTAGGCTCAGTATTATTCGTTACACTGCTATAATGAGTTTAACAAACCTAAGTAGCAGGGTTCGTTCTATTCATTCCGAAACCTCTCCGGGAGTGAACCTCAAGCGCGTTATAGAGCCATTCTATTTCCTTCTTCGAAAGAGTTTGCAAGGGGTGATAATAAATAAGGGGAGAGAAGGACTTACTAGAAAGGTATATTACAAAGTCAAGTAAGTTTCATTAAATGTTCTTCTAAACGATTTCTTCTCTTCCATATATTTCTAAAACGTTCCTCATCCCAGTTTGCTTATATTGTTCCATGATCTCATATCAGGAGAGAAGCGATGTACCATTTCCTTCCCTTATACGATTTATTCCTAGTAATCGTGAACAACTGAAATTAAGACTCGTCTTAACACAAATTTCAAACTCATTGTCTTTTACGCTAACACCATTCCCATCCTAACCCTGCCTTAAACTTCGGTTGACAGTTCATTAATTCATTTCAAGAGGAAAGAAGAATATATATGCCATTAGCCTCAACCATCGTCACTCTGCTCTCGTTTGCTATATAGCGTCTCACCTAACCTACTTAGTTACAAGGAGGTAACCAGGGGCTCTCGTTTAGCGCTACATAACTCAAGACCGCATAATGCTACGATGAATGGTTTTTCTACAAAACAAATACTTGTGACATACTCGACTGTGTCTTTGCTCGGGGCTACATTTTCAAATGAAAGAAACCCGAACTCTGAGTAAATAAACATATTGACAGCAGGTGTTAATAACGCTATAAATTAACTAAATGAAATTAAAATAAATTGACTTCTGTGTCATGATAACTGCTTTTGTGGTTATAGCCTGGGAAAGCCACATTTAAGAAAAACAGAGTTAGAAATGGTGTGGCTCAACCGGCAATGGGCATGGTTGAGTGATCGAGTGAACGTGGCTCTGCCGGCAATGCGCTATGAGTTAATCCATGTTACAGTAAATCATTTGAAATATTCATTATGTAAAATCTAGAAATCCAGTTGAATTTTTCGTGGGGAAAAGTCCAGATCACGCAAACTAGCTGCCTCACATAGGTACTCAAACACCTTTTCACAAATTATTTATGATTATACCACCAATTATTTCTTTGAATCATTTTAACTTATAGGATGGTCAATTTAGTGTTTTTCCTTTTCTGATAACTGCTTGAGATAAGAGATATTGTTGCCTCAATCACTATGTTTACATTCATGCTAAAAACTTTAAAAAAAAATAAAATTAGAAGAATGATCATTTATTGCACAAATATACTTATAAACAACTACATATGTGACGCCTAACTCTTTCCAATTCATAACTGGTTTTTAGCAAAACTATTGACTCGATTTTCCAGAATAAGTCATTTTGCCGCCGCTTGAATAATGACATTTTGATTTCAATTTGAAGCGTCACAATACATTTGATGGAAAATTCCGGTTGTTATGTGATATCGAACTCCGTTTAAATATCGGGATACTTTACAGAAAACGATCAAGGCCTAATAATTACTCAGAACATTATCGACATAACTATCGATTCGGCTGATGAAGGATGAGCGTACAAGTCTTTGAAAAAGCTAAAGTACCATCATTTAAAGTTTTCATATCCAGAAATAAATGTATTTAAAGTTTTTATCTGTTACT